TAACCACTTCTAGGAAATGTTATAGAGAGGATCTTCAGTCAGGTATGTGTTGGACTAGATGACCTGTGAGGTTCTTTAATTGTGTGAGTTGCATCATGTTTCACCATTCTTCCTTTCTCTTATGAAACTGGCACCCTCTCCTTTGTGAATGTAGAAACTATTGTTCATGTTTAGGCAAAACAGCATACAGACAAAGAAACAGAGAAAGCGGGGGAGGTAGAAAGAGAGAGAGAGAGAAAGAGAGATAGACAGATGGGGGAGGGGAGGTCAGCATTGGAATTCAGCATTTTGACCCTTGCCTTAGTCCCTGAACCTCCCGCCTCCCCATCCCTCTCCAGTAAGGTTCCTCTGAAGAGCATATTTCGAACTTAATGTGGCTTTTTCCTCTCCTTTGCTTTAGTCACAGGAAATAATCTTTTTATGATCAGCATGTGATCTTTTCCTGAAGCCTGAAAGACAGACTCATCAGCTAGGGGAACTTTTCCACCCCTGTTTGCTGGCTCAGTAGGGTTTTCTGTCTCTTGAATACATTTATTCTTGGTCCTAGAGAGACCAAAGGGCTAGCCAAATTGTTAGTTGTCTGCAGCCTACTGAGGTCTATCTGTTGGCCCTACCTGTCTCTCTGCAGAACAACCACATGGGACATCAGAGATGCCAAAGAAGCAAAGGTGTTTGAGAGGCATGCATTCTGGGAAATGTGGGGCAGGCTATTAAAGGCCAGAATAGAATGGAAACAAGAGTTGGACTAGTTGACTTCTCACATCCCTTCCCACTCTAAGATTCTGTGAGAAGTCAGTAAAAGGAAGTTCCTGAACAATCAGACTGAACATTCAATGGTCAGGTTGGTGATAGGTTTTATCTCATTCTCTCAGCTATCTCTACTGACCTAGCCCTGGCCCTGAGTCAGAATCCCAAGGGTGAGAACTTTGTTGTAATGTGGGGACAATCTGTGGAAGGCATTGAATCATAGGCTAAGGAGTTTGTATTCTATTCAACAGGAAGCAGGGCACCAGTTAAGTTTTTGAGTAGGGTGGTTGCATCATTAGATGTATGTATGCATTAGGATATTTCCAAGACCCATGCTTTTGTTGGCATGGGAACTCAATCAACATAGACCATATTGGATGATTTTCACTCATTGCTATGATCAAATAATTTGTCATCCAGTAGCCATACTCCCCACAATAATGAAAATCTCTGAACTTAGGCTAGTCCTCAGATCACAGACACATGCCACTGGATCTCATGCTGGAAACAGTAGTCTACATTTATAAAGCACTTTACAGTTCATAAAGCCCTCTCCTCAGAAATACCCTAGGAACGGGGTACAAGTATTCTTATCTCTGTTTTCCAGGTGAGTAAACTGAGGCTTAGATATGTGTGTGTATATCTATATCTATATCTATATCTATATCTATATCTATATCTATATCTATATCTATATCTATATAGATATATATCTATATATATATCTATATCTATATAGATATATATCTATATAGATATAGATATAGATATATATGCACACACATATATATATGTAGGTATATATGTGAGTGTATTATATATATAGGTATATATATGTAGGTATATATAGGTGTATATATATGTAGGTATATGTATATATATAGGTATATATATGTAGGTATATATGTGAGTGTATTATATATAGGTATATATATGTAGGTATATATAGGTATATATATGTAGGTATATGTATATATATATAGGTATATATGTAGGTATATATATACACACATATACACACACACATATATGTGTACACACACACACACACACACACATGCACACACACATACTCTTGCCAGAGTTTACACAACTATTAAGTGGTGAAGAGAGGACTCAAACCTAGGTCTTCTGGCTCCAAATTCAAAGTTCTTTCCACTATGTTATCCAAGAAAAATTATCTCACCTTTTGTTTATAGGATGGATTGGAAGGGGGAAAAATAGTGTAGTTAGGAGACTGCTATAATAGTTCAGGTAAGTATTTTGTTCATTAAAGACTTAGTTGTTTGAAGGTAAAAAATGAAATGCCTAGTTCAAGACAGACTCCTCTAGAACTTGGTGATGGGTTAGTTTTAAAGCATAGGCTAAGACTCCACAGTTCTGGGCTTTATCTTGAGTTTTTCACTGATCACTGACGTCAGGAGATTTCTTAGATTAGCCCAATCTTTCTCTGCCCTGGACTCCCTATATATTATGCTGCTGCTCCCAAAAGCTTGCGATTTTTTCCCTAGGGTGAGCAGGCCCATTTCCAAAGGGCCACATACCCCAAGGAGCCTTCCCCTGAGCCAGAGTTATACAAGGCTCCAGACTCAAAAATGGGTGGATCCTTCTAGTTATCCATAGTCACCACTTGCAGACTCCAAGGAGAAATATGACCTCATTGGGAAAGGGGATGTAGTTGACTGCCCCCTGGGCTTTGCAGTTTAGCCTAAAATAGTAGAAATAGTCTTCAGCTACTCACTTGGTGAGCAACATTTTGTTACATTAGAAAGAACACTGGCTTCGGAGCCAGAGAATTTGGGTTCAAATCATGTCCCCAGTCATTCATTATCTCCCAGATCTGCTCCTATTCTGATAAGGGTGCTGGTCTAGGAGGCAGGAGGACTGAGCATTAGTCCTTAATGCTGACTCAGATTGTTCCATGACCTCAGACAAGTCCCTTTGCTTCTCAACCATCTGCCTCTTTCCCTTCTCCCCTCCCTCCCATCTTCTCTACATATCTGGTGGGCAGGGACTATTTCACTGTTTTTATTGCTGAGGTCTTGGCAAATTCAGAAGATTAGTAATTGTATTCTGTCTCTGGGAAGAAAGGTGTTGAATCCTGATGGTTATGACGTCAGGGTCGGTTGGAGATTATTTTTGAGAAAAGGGTCACAGAGACCCAAAACAAAGCCTAAAGATTATTCCCATCTAGGCTGCGCAATATGTCTCACTCAGCCAGCCCAACAGGCCCAACCAGACGGTCCCGCATTGGGTCAGCACCCAATGTCCGAGGTAAAGAAGGCTAAAATACCTTCTCGACTCAATCTTACAAATATGTATTAAAAACCTACGTAGTGAGCTGGCCTCAGAATCAGCAAGCCCTGGGATTGAGTCCCACATCTGACACTGTGACTTTGGAAAGTACGCTCTTAGGGTTTCTAGACAGCTCTCTAAGACTGTAAGTTGAACAGCAAATGCCTAATTAAAGAGGGAATTCCTCAATGAAATCACCGATCCAGTCCCCAAAAGACAAATGTGTAGGGTACAGTGGTGATGGAAAACTAGAAACAATCCAAAACAAACTCGTGATCTACAATCTAGTTGGGAGAACTGTGGAATAAAATGAATAGATAACTCTAGTGTAAGTTATAATGTAAGTACATGAGAGTAGTATGAAAGATTTGAAAGAGAAAAGATCTCTTCTAGCTGAGGTAATCAGAGAATTACTTCTCCTTCACCTTCACGAAGGAGGTGGTGCCTCAGCTGGGCTTTGAAGGAAACAAAGAATTTCAAAAGGTAGAATTGTAGGAGGAGATCATTCCAGGCAGGGGGACAATGTGTACAAAGGCACAGAGGTGGTGAGAAAAGGCAGATTGATAAGAATGGTTTTCTCATATGTACCATTATTGCTCTTTTGTTTGTGGATCTATCTTTCTGGACTGTAAGAATTTGGGTCCCCTATTTACCACTGAGACACCCAATGAGCTATCCCTTTTGACTAGAATGCTAAGTAAGCAAAAGGGGTAAGTCTGGAAATCAGAGTTATATTGTAAAGGGCCTTGAATGGTAAACTGAAAGTTTTTATTGTTTCCTAAAAGAGATAGGGGCCATTGAAGGTTTTAGAGTGTTCTTAACCTTTTTGGGTGTCATAGACCCTTCTAGAAGCATGGTAAAGTCTATGGATCCATTCTCAGAATATTTTTTAAAAATTTTTCAATGAGCTAGCATTTACTTTATCTCCCTCCAATTTTCCCTTTCACCCAATGGAGGAAAAAATAAGAAAAAAGAAAAAACCCACTTTGTAACAGATATGCATAGTCAAGACAAAAAAAAGAAAAAACAAAACCCCTTTGGCCATGTCCAAAAATAAATGCCTTATTCTGCACCCTGAGTCCATCACCTCTCTGTCAGGAGGTAAGTAGTGTTGTACGCCATTGATCCTCTGGAATAATGGTTGATCACTGCATTCATCAGAATCTTTAAAGTTGTTTTTATGGTGTTGTTATAGTATAAATTGTTTTCTCTTCACTTTGCAGCAGTTCATATAAACCTTCGGCTTCTCAGAAACCATCCCCTTCATCATTTCTTACAGAGCAATAGTATTCCATTATATTCATATGCCATAATTTTTTTAGCCATTCCCCAATTGATGGGCAAAGTAATCTTTTTTGGTTGGGGGAGGGGTTGTTTCTTTTTTGTTTTTTTTTTTTTTTTGGTGAGGCAATTGGGGTTAAGTGACTTGCCTGGGATCAAGTGTCTTGAGGTCAGATTTGAACTAAGGTCCTCCTGACTCCAGGGCTAGTGCTCTATCCATTGTACCACCTAGCTGTCCCCAAAGCAATATTTTTAAATACATAAAATAAAACTCATGAGATTACCAAGGAAACCAATTATATCAAAATTCAGTTATTAAAATATTTTAAGACAGAAAGAGAGATGTTCACAGGCCCAGGTTAAGAACCTTTGTTTTAGACTGAATGAGAGAGTGATGTGGTCCTGCCTGTGCATAGTAAAATTAGCCTGACAGCAATATGGAGGATGGAATGAGAGCTATAGAGATGAGATGCAGGGAGACCAGTTAGGAGGATACGGCAGGACACAATGATGACCCAAAGGTATTGGGAATAGGTGTAAAAAGGCTGATGAGTTAAGAGGAGCCCCACTGGAAGGGCTGTTTCTGAAATCAGGGTACAGGAAGGCTTTCTCCTGAACAGTGCTCACCTCAGGGAGGAATGGTTGCCCTTCATCCCCATCCTTGTCCCCTTCCTCAGGCCTGCCTTCGATCCTGCTTCCAAGAACACATGATTCAGAGCTGCAACTGTGGTCACTACCTATATCCCCTTCCTGAAGGGGAGAAATACTGCAACTACCAAGACTTTCCTGACTGGGGTGAGTATTTGAGCCCTAGATGATACCTCTAGACCTGGTGTTTAAAGATCCCCCCAACCCCCCATGCCCCCCAACTCCCACTTAAGTAGCAACTAGGTCTCAGAGGCTTCCATATTCTTAACTAGTGAAGGAGGTCCTTATGTTGATGCAAATTGATCAAATTGGAGCTCCAGTTCAATTCAGTTTCAAGTCAATTCAAAATACGCATACTATTTGCACTGTGCAAATATGTGCAATATGGAGCCTACAGAAGTGAATAAGACATTTGACCCAGACTTCTTACAGAAGAACTTACAAAATGTATAAAGAGAAGTAAGAAAGATTCGAGTTCAACTTCCATGTCTGACACTTATTACCTTTTACCTTTAATGCCTTTCTTTTATTGCCAAGGCCATACACAAGATTCAGAAGATTGGTTCTCACCAGGTTGTGGTGAAGCTCCTTTATCTACTAATCAGATTTTACATGTATTTCCAGGACAGAATCCACCAATAAATATCCCAAGGGAAAGAAGCAATGCATTTCTATGTGGCTGTCTTATTGGCGGGGGAAGGGCGCTCTATGCCATAGACAATATATTCCATTGTATTTATGAACCCATCTATATGGTTATTACCTCCAGTGATATAAATTTCAGATTGTTTGTCCCTGACCAAAACAAATTGTCAAAGATATCAGGTTAAATGGTAATTCAACTCAGTCTATTTCTAAAGCCAGTTTTATCTGGCTCTGGGCAGCCCTGGGCCCTCCTAGGGGAAAGCAACTAACTGGTGGTAAGGACATTCTGTATTGGAATCAGCAAACTAGTTTAAGCTGGACCCTGCCCCACCCACAGAACCCAGCCTAGATTTCTCATATTGTAAATAACAGCCTCTTTCCTAATCTTAAAATTGTTGTCACCAGGAGTTATCTAAGAAGTATGGGTGATAATTTGGAGTCCTGAAGACCTGGGTTTAAATCTCACAGTAGCTAGTTGTGTGACCTTGGGTGAGAAAATGAGCCTATCTCCTCATCTGTAAAGTGGGGGTAGTGGTAACTACCTCACAGGCTGACTGTGAGGCTCACTGTAAACTTCAAAGCACTATATAAATGTCACTTATTCGTAATCTCCCACAAGGTCTCTAGCTGAGGTTTAAAGATCTTCATTAAGTTCAAATCCGGCCTCAGACACGTATAACAATTACTAGCTGTGTGACTTTGGGCAAGTCACTTAACCCCAATTGCCTCACCAAAAAAAAAAAAAAAGAGGTTCATTAAGTAACAAACAAGGCTACCAAGGCCTCCAAGAGGTACTTTGACCAATTTCAATTCAATTCAAAGTATCATTCCTGAAGGCTTTCTATTTGGCAGCTAAGTGGCTCAGTGGGTAGATCCAGAAGACCTGAGTTCAAATCCAGCCTTAGATACTTACTAGCTGTGTGACCCTGGCCAAGTCACTTCACCTCTGTTGGCTTCAGTATCCTCTTCTGTAAAATGGGGATAATAATAGCACCTACCTGGCAGGGTTGTTGCAAGGATAAAATGGGACACTTAAACATGCTTTGCAAACTTTAAAGAGCCATATAAATTGATAGCTATTATGCTAGCAACTATTATTCATAAAGGACCTGTGTTGGGCAATGTGAGTCCTACATGGGCTTGGGCCTTTGGGATTTGACACTCATGCTCCTAGCTTTCAAAATGGCTCAAGGCAGACGTCAGCTCACCAGCTTGCCACCAGGGAATATTTAGCCCATGCTAGGTTTTTCAGTTTAGTGTTAACCGCCTCCCAGTCCCTCTACCTAATCCTTCCATCAATCCATCCATCAGCACAAAATGATTAAGTATCTACTATGTGCCTGGCATGGTAGGGCAAGGCACTGGGGTTACAAAGACAAAAGGGAAAGAAATCCTGTGTGTGTGTGTGTGTGTGTGTGTGTGTGTGTGTACGTGTACACACGTAATACATGCCCACATATACAGAATAAAATCAAAACAAACACAAGGGATTTAAGGAAGGAAGAGCCTAGTACAGGGTGAAGAACCTGTGGGCTCAAGGCCACATGTGGCCTTCTAGGTCCTTGGGTGAGGCCTTTTGACTGAGTCTAAGTTTTACAGAACAAATCCTTTTATTAAGGAGATTTGTTCTGTGAAGTCTGGATTCAATCAAAGGGATGCACTTGAGGACCTAGAGGGCCACATGTGGCCTCGAGTCCTCAGGTATTCCCCACCCCTTTGGGGAGATCAGGAAAGGCTTTCTATGGAAGGTACTGCCTGCTCCCAGCCCCCTAGGATGCTCCCTCTAAGTCCTCCCCATTTCTCCCTCATTACTCAACAATCCATTTGGTTTGTGTCAAACAGCATACTGTTACTCGGCCCTCCGCATGAGTGTGCTCCAGAGAGAAAACTGCATCAGCCTGTGTAAGGAGTCCTGCAAGTGAGTACTTGGAAGGGAAGGGGATCAGTGTGACAGGAGGAAGCAAGACTTGGAAATAACTCCATTCCTATGTTAATGAAAGGACAGGAAGCATCATACTTGGAAATTCTATTCAACAATCATTTATTTTGTGCCTACTGTGTGCAGAGGATGGTATGAGGCGCTAGGAGAGATATAAAATTTAGATAATGGTCTCTGCCTTCATGGAACTTATAGTCTAGTAAAGGGAACATTCACAAATAATTATAATTCTAAATAACATATGACAAATGCATAGAAGTCTGAGGACTGAGAGGGGTTGGGGGGACACGGAGACATTATTGACTGGGGGAGGGGGGAGGATTGGAGAAAGCTTCCTGACTTCACCAGTGCCCTTGTCTGTTCCAGTGATACTCAGTACAAGATGACTATCTCCATGGCTGACTGGCCATCTGAGGCCTCTGAGGTAAAGGAATTAGATTGGTTAGGCTCTGGTGTGACTCTGGCTGCCCCTCTCACTGGCCCCTAAGGCATCACTTAACTTTCTTTGTGTCCACTGGTTTATAAATGACAGTGATGCTCTTCAAGAAAGGTTTGAATAAAGCAATGAATGATAGGCCCTTTAGAGAAGCTGAGGTTGGTTTTTGGTTCTGTTTTGTTTCATTTTATTTTGGTTTTAAGGGAGAAAACCAGAGAAGTCAAAAGACGGGGAAAGGCTCAAGGGGGAAGATCATTTAGTGCATGTTTCTTTCTCATCTCTCTTATTCATGCTATCTTTTGTTCTCTTTTACTTTTTCTGCCTTTATATATTCACACACAGTGGAAATTATTGGGACGTCATGATGCATCTGCCCATCAGTGGGCTGAACAGCTCTCATCTGCTCCCCTTAATTATCTCAGACAAGAAATAAGGAGGGGCCGCTAGGTGGCGCAGTGGATAGAGCACTGGCCCTGGAGTCAGGAAGACCTGAGACAGTGTGACCCTGGGCAAGTCACTTACCCTCTGTTTGCCTTAATCCACTGGAGAAGGAAATGGCAAACCATTCCAGTATCTTTGCCAAGAAAACTCTGTGGAAAGTACTAGTGTGATGTGGGGTCACGACTTTTACTCCCTTACCTCTCCATCTCTGTTTTCCTGACTTCCTTCAAGTCGAAGTTCAAATCCCCCGTACTCCATAAGGACTTTCCCAGAGCCTCCCAGCTACTACTAGCCTTTCCCGTTCATGTTATCTTCCATCTCCTCTGTATATATCTTTTATCTACCCAGTTGTAGACGTGGTCTCCCTCATTAAAATGTAAGCTCCTTGAGGGCAGGAATTTTATTTTTGCCTCTTGTTGTATTCCCATTGCTTAGCACAGTGCTTGGCACATAGTAAGCACTCATTTAAATGCTTGTCAACTGAATGTTAAAAGGCCTGTGTCAGTGGCCCTGTACGCCCCAGCTACTGTAAATATTCTTGGAAGCACTTTGAGTTTGAGAGAAGTCATGCTGTCTTTGGTTTCAGGACTGGATTTTCCATGTGTTGTCTTACGAACGTGACAAAACCACCAACCTAACCATAGACAGGTAAGTACTCTTACTTTCAGAAAGGAATCCTAGGATCCTTGAGACTCCTGAAGGAAGGAGCTCCAAGGTGAAGTGTTATTTAAAGGACCTACAAGGCATCAGCCTGGAAATAACTCCTCTCCTGACCTTTCTTCATTACCTAAATCCTTCTGTTAGAATGATTCTTTTGCATTAAGGCAGTGTCTCCAGGAAACTCCCTTTAAAATACACGTGTGAAGTGGAGGGATAACACATTAGCAAGGGTTAGGTCATCACCATAGCTAGGATATTACCTTGGATGGAATTTTGAGTGTGGGGGCCATGGAACAACTATTTTTTTTGCATTTATTTTTTTAAATTTTATTAATTTATTTTGATTTATCAACAATCACTTCCATATGCTTTTGAGTTTAAAATTTTTCTCCCCCTTGCTCCCCCCCACCCTCCCCAAGACGGCGCACAATCTGATGTAGGCTTTATGTTTACATACCCATGAAACATATTTTCACATTAATGAAGCTGTAAGTAAAAATTAAAACCAATAGGAGGAACCATCAGAAAGAGGAAACAAAACTCAACAGAAGGTAAAAATAAGTGATAGCGATTTGACTTCCATAGTTCTTTCTTTGGATGTGGATAGCATTTTCCATCCCGAGGCCTCTGGAGATGTCTTAGATCCTTGTAATGCTGAGAAGGGTTCAGTTTAACAATCATAGTCATTGCATAACGTGGCTGTTATTGTGTACAGAGTCCTCTTGGTTCTGCTCACTTCACTCAGCATCAGACCATATAAGTCTTTTCAGGTTTTTCTGAAGTCATCCTGTTCATCATTTCTTATAGCTCAATAGTATTCCATTACATTCATATACCACAACTTGCTCAGCCATTCCCCAATTGATGGGCATCCCCTCAATTTCCATTTCTTTGGCACCACAAAAAGAGCTGCTATGAATATTTTTGTACATGTGGGTCCTTTTCCCATTTGTTTGATCTCTTTGGGATATAGCCCTAGAAGTGCTATTGCTGGATCAAAGGGTATGCACATTTTTGTAGCCTTTTGGGCATAGTTCCAAATTGTTCTCCAAAATGGTTGGATCATTTCACAACTCCACCGACAATGTATTAGTGTCATGGAACAGCTATTGATCACAGGTGAGTAGGCCTGAGTGGAAGACCACTGAGGCAGCCTGAGAACACTGGATGTCCAGGAAAGGGCTCAGTACAATAAGTAATTAAAGAGGGAACAACCAAAGTTAATTTGGTCAGAGGCCAAGAGTCAGCTCTTAAAAGAGCTTTAGGGACCAGCCTCCTTTTTAGACACTGATCATTGCTAGAGGTGGGCCTTCTACAGAACCTCAGCATTGTCAAGAAGCCAAGAACTGAGTCTGGTCCCATCAAAAGAGCCACCTGCATTGTGTGATACAAGCATGGAAGAAGGGTTTTATAGTTTGTCACCCTCAGTTATCTGTTGATATTTCTGACTCTGCAACTCTTGCACACCTATGGGGGAATGTCTGGTGGGACCATCACTCCCTGTCCCAAGATTATGAAGAGGCTGTTCCCTATCCCTGTTCCTGAATTTGGATAAGGTCATAATCACTGTTTCCTATCCCAGATAAGAAATTGGATTAAAGTTGAAATCAAACCCTAGAATCCATAGCTGATTTGATTAAGCTGGTTCAAGGCTGATTTCTTCTCCAACACAGCTCCATGAGTTCCAAAGGGAAAAAAAAAAGACAACGCTGGGCTGTAGGGGGGTCCAAAAAGAAGCTGGGCAAGTGTGTGTCATCCAGGAAGTGCTACCACTAAAGAAGTTTTATGTTTCAGACATGAAATCTGGGCAAGGAAGAAGAGTGTATGATGCCTAAGGCTCCAGGGATGGGCAGAGGCAACATGCTTGTTATCCTGGATGGGCACAACATCATGCCTCCCTGTTGGGAATAGAGCAGACTGGGAGGAGCACACTATGGCAATTAAGGGATGGCCTCAGCATCTTTCTTCCTCTTTTAGCTCCTTCCCCAACCAATACCACCCTTACCCTTCTTTCTATATGGGACTTGACTGTCTATACCTTATCTAAAGGAAAAGGTCTTTCAACCTAGTCTCTTACCAAGCTCATGGCCTGAGACCACCTAGTAGCCATGATCTCTCTCTTATCCACAGGAAAGGAATTGTCAAGCTCAATATTTACTTCCAAGAATTCAACTTCCGGACATTCGCTGAGTCAGCAGCAAACGATGTGAGTTGTAAAGCCCTAAAACACTTCCCCTTCCTCCCCCCAGCTTCAGATTTCTTGATTCTTGGGGAGTCAAGAGACCCTGATGCCCCTAAGGGATTATAGTCATGGACACCCCCTCCACCTGCCAGACTATTGCAGTCAAGATTGTATAGTCTGATCCCTTCATTTTACAGATGGGGAAACTGAGTCCCGGAGGAGTTGAGTGACTTGAGTAAGCACACATAGAGTTCAAACCTAGTCTTTTGAAAGCCAAAGCTCTTTCTACTACATCAAACTGCTACCCAGATACTGAGTTTGTAAGAAGAAGAAAGGTATACATTAGACCTGGGCCTAAAAAGGGACAAGGATATAGTCTAGATATCACCTGTAGACTATTTCCTGAGCCACATCAGGCCATCAAGCAGTCCTGGCCCTTCTTTCTCTCCCTTATACAGTTTTCCCCAGAGACCCAGAAAACATCTTGCTCTAAGCCTCTGCCAGGCCCTGTCCAGTGGGAGTTGGGGGGAGAGAGACACCACTAAGGCTTGGCAATGATCCCAAAGCCTTCTTAGGTTCCAGTAGGGTTCTATGGGAGCCTTTATCTTCAGGCCACATCATCTCCTCCAGGTGGTATGGTTACTCTCCAATCTGGGTGGCCAGTTTGGGTTCTGGATGGGCGGCTCAGTACTGTGCATCATTGAGTTTGGAGAGATCATCATCGACTGTATATGGATTACCATCATCAAGCTGGTGGCCTGGGCCAAGGGCCTGAAGCAGCGGCGGGCCCACGCCCGCTATGAGGGCCCACCACCCACAGTGGCAGAGCTAGTGGAGGCACACACCAACTTTGGCTTCCAGCATGACACCGAAAATAACACCAACTCTCCTCATGTACCCGAGGACTACTCAGATGAGAAGAACCTGCCCATCCCAGGCACCCCACCTCCCAACTATGATTCCTTGCACCTACAGCCCTTCGACATCATTGAGTCAGATAATGAAGGGGATGCCATCTAACCTCTTGGCTTCATCTTGCAATATCCTTTGGATAGTGGGTGAGGCCACAGTGATGGAAAAAGAAGAAAACAACTTCAAATGTTCCATTTGGCACTTTTTCACTCTGCCTACAGTCTTCACTCTGGCCAGACAGAAGACCAGGCCCATGCTCATTCCCTGAATGTCTTTACCCTGCTGCAGAGCCTGGAATTCACCAGCTCCCTATTCATTCACTGCTTTCTTCCTTTGTTACATTTCCCTGGTACCCCAACTAGGCTGAAATCCATACTGATCTGGGGGAATGTGAGTGAGCGATCATTTTATAGGAGCCTGTTGACCTCTAGAGGAATAGCACTTGGCTCTGAAGAGTCAAGGAACTGATGGGATTATAGATTTAAAACCAGAAGCATCCTTAAAGGCCATCTAGTCCAAGCATCTCATTTTACAGATGAGGAAACCAAGACTTAGGGAAGTTAAGTAATGCCCAAAGCCATAAAAGTAGCAAATGGCTTGGCTAGAATTTGGAGCTGGGTCCTCCTGACTCCTAATCCATTGTTCTTTCTATGACATCATTACAGTCAGACTTCTGACCCTGACATTTCATGCGAGCTCAGCTCCGGGGAAGAGCAAATTAATGTAGACCCGAATCCCATGCTTTGGTATAACCTCAGTGTCCTGCCCGGTCAAACAGCCCTGGCCAGTGAGCCATCCTGTTATAAGAGAGTCATCCCTGTATCAGAAGTACCCAGGCCAGGACCTAGAGGGCCCTGTGGGAGGAAGCTCATTCATTCTCTGTTCTCTGAAGCCCTTTTCTACCTGCCAGGCTGTTGTGTACCCCTAATAGGAGGCAGGACCTCTGTTCCTATTCAGTAACTGAAAGGAGAAGCTAGTTGAGTTATCCCTTCACCTTCTGTGTGCTCCTCATTTGAGCACCTCTACCCAGGTTCCCAGAACCAGTTTTCTCTCCCACATCCAGTCACTTATCAGTCTAGAGTCTGGATAAAGAGAGATCAGTGGACTGTATTGTGACAACTTGCTTATTCAGAATAAAAAAGTGATAATTTTTTTTTTCTGTTTCTAAAGTGACTGGCAGCTATGCGTTGGCTTAGCTTGGAGAACTTGGGGTGTGTGAAAACACAGGACTTGCAAGAACAGCTGAGTTTGTGCTTAGCAGAGCTGAGGACATCTCTTCAGTTCTGTATCTGTTTCTCTTTATCTCGCTCACTCTACCAAGGCAGCTTAGCAGCTACTCTGCAGTTTAGAATCTTAGAGTCGCCTGGGGCAATGGGAAGGTTGGGTGACATCAGGGGTAGTAGGGTCATTAGCAGGACTCGAACCCAGGTCTATCAGAAATTAAAGCTAACTTGTTTTTTGTGGAGACAATTGGAGTTAAGCGACTTGCACAGGGTCACACAGCTAGCAAGTGTCTGAGGTTACTTTGAACTCAGGTCCTCCTAACTCCAAGGCCAGTGCTGTATCCGTTGAGCCACCTGGCTACCCCATTAAAGCTAACTTTCAATCTACTACACCACAGTGCCTTTCTCTCTTTTCTAATGGGTGGGTGGAAAAACACACACACACACACACACACACACACACACACACACACATAACTCATACTCTGTCCTGTGCCCTAGCCAATGTTCTCTGACAGTCCCCTCCCAATAAGATTTGCCAGAACAGTACCCAATACTGAGAATGCTAAGGTACTTCCTGGACTGCTTCATCCACTCGGCTCCCTGAAGGACAAAACTGTTCAGCAGGGGCACAGGGTCTCTTAAGTGCTATAAAGTTCCCTTCATGAGGCTTACAATTCTATGATTCAGGGATCGCCCCTGGGAAAAAATATTGTCCCAAGAAGTCTTTTAGGACTTTGTAACCTGACCCTCTCACTCCTCACATTTCCCTAATAGCTCCCAGGGCAGGAAGAAAAGTGACTTTGGCTTCAGCCTTCCTGATTGAGCTCCACTTTATAGCATTTGCTTTCCTGCCGGCACATACCAGTTAATCTCTCCTGGAAACAAACACACATCTCCCATAAAGTGCCCAGCTAGAGGGGTGCGCCTGTACCTCCCTGTCCCCTCCATCATCATTGATACAAACACCAGCTGGCATGACCCAAATGGATTAGCTGAAGGGGAGCAATAAAGAAAGGACAGCTCCAGGTGGAAAGGGCCAACTGGGAGCTACTCTTCCCTGTTGGGTAGTGTGGTCCAGAAAATGCCACCTAGGCCCTGCACTTCTCCCAACATCACAGGCTAGCTGATCTCCAACTATCCACCTGTGGTCAGAACTACCTTGCCCTTTCCCCAGAGGTCTAACTAAGGGAGGGGCCACATCACAGCTTAGTCCTAGGGCAGAAAATTTAAAGGATGTGGCAGCACTTATCCCCAGGTGTACTTCTCCCCCCCTTTCCTCAATCAGCAGAGAGCTTATGCCAGGCTCTTCTTCCTTCCCCATGACAGAAACTTCCTAGAGTTTCAGGAAGCACATATTTCCTTAGCAGCTTTATGCCTGGCCCGTACTACATTACCAGAAGCAACATTGTCCATTTCCCCTCTCTCCACAGAAACCAGTCCTTAAATAATATAAGAAACTCTGGTGTCTACAGTACAGGCTTCCTTCCCCAACCTCCAGCTTGAACCCCAAGTGAGCTTTACCATCCTCTTGCCCCAGGCACAGAAATTGCTAGTTAGAGCTCTGCTTTTCCCTTCTTCCCACCCAATCTCAGAGTTGAGGAGGCTTTAGTGAGGGGAGGTGATGATAAAAAGGACTTTGCACACACATACACACACACACACAACACACAAAATTACCTTCCATGGCCGAAGACCACTAACAAACTGACCTCAAACCCAGCCAGATGTCTCTCAAAAGGGTGTCCATCATCATCACCATCATCACCACCATCTTGTGTTGGCATGGAGTATTCTACTTTTTTAAGCATTGTTGTGTCTATCATTTCACTTGCTCTTCCACAACTTTGTTAGGCAGGGATGGGATCATTTTCCTGCTCACTGAAAAGATGCCCTAAGTCACCTATTAGTGGCAGGAGTCAGGACTAGGGCACAGATCTCCCAGCTATGAGAATATGGATGGCTTGAGGCAAACCCACCTACTGCTATAGTGGATGGGTGCCATCACTGAATATATAGAACAGAACATTGTCCTAATTACTACCTAAACTAATTAAACAGAAGAGACTTGCCTCATTCACAGTGGGGATGAGATTGGTTCCCACCTTCTGCTTGAGTCACAGTATCAGGAGCAGAGCTAACCTGGTGAATAAGAAAGGTGTGGGACTTCAGGAAAATGACTTCCTGAGGTTCACTGGGGCTATGAAGGCATGGCCTTAGGCTCACTGGTTACAGAAAACAGAGTCTAAGAGTTAGTCTTAAGACTAACAGAGTTAGTCTAAGAAGAAACCAGTCACATCCAAAGATGAGGATCTAGAGGTGTGAGGTAGGGTGGGGGGGAAATCTCTGATAGAAAGTTGAGGCTCTGAATGATGACCCCAGTGAGAAAGAGTCAAAAAGAGTTATAGAAAAAGAGGGTAGGTTAAGGAAAAAGAAAGAGCCCAATTTGAGAGGGATAGGGACAGAGCAAAGGAAGTAGGACAGGCCACAATGGAAGCTTTAAAAGCAGTGACAGGAGAAAGGATAAGAGAAGAGAGAAAGCTTGGAGAGGATGAGCCTAAGATGCACTGATCAAGGAGGAAGGCATAGCTCGAGGAAACTGAGGAAAGAATATCCTGAGGGCCCTAGATTTAGGGGTAAAAGGAATCTTACCCTTACCTTTCATCAAACCCAGCCATCTCATTTAACAGTGGGGGAAACAGGCCTAGAGAGATTAAGTGACTTGCCCAAAGTCTCACAGAGCCAGGACTGGAACCCAGTTACAGGACTCCTTCCACAGTACCACACTGGCTCGAAGGCAAGGGATTCTTAATTTGTGGTCTTCGAACTTGTTGTTTTTTTTCATATTTTGATGATGGTAGTTTGGTTTCCTTGGTGTTGCTATATATTTTATTTTAAGCACTTAGATAGACTATTCTGAGAGGGGGGGTCCACAGGCCCCTTTGGACTGCCAAAGGCATCCATGACACACAACAAGCTAAGAACTCTTGGCAGCTTCTGCTTGGAAAACACTAGGGTCTAACTGTTGGGTCCAGTGGCTCCATAGAAGCCACAGGATGATTTGAGGCTGGTCCAGAAAGAAAAAGACCTAACCTCTCTAAGAATAAAAGTTGCTGAGAAGTAGTCTGTGTTCAGGAAGTAGAAGGATAAACCAACTGAGATGAACCGTGAGCCCCAAGTGTCAGGGTAATCCAGGGTAATCCCACAGCCTGCAGATAAAAGGGGAATGGAAACTGAGGGAGAACCTAAGAGAGATCAGTTAATGCTTTAAATCTAATTAAAGCCAAGAGGAAGACAAGCATGACAGTGTGAACTTCTAATTTGCTAAAGCTGTATATATAGTCTGTTCCTTGAGATTCTCTCTCACTGTAATAAAGAGATTTGCGCATTACTGTGGTTGATTGTTTTCTCTACATCAGAGGTGCCGGGGACACTGTGTGGTGGTGAGAAAGACACTACCCAAGAAAAGAGCCCATGATGCCAGGCCACAGCCCTTGGAAAAGCAATGCCCTTCCCCATGGATTCCCAGGTGGTAGCAGCAGTCAATTAACTAGGAAAAACATCACTAGATTTCTGTTCAAAGGCTGCTCCAGGGACATTATATTTTTTTTTCCACCAAAAATCTGAAAATTCAATCATTAATTTTTTTTCAGCCAAAGACAAGGTTTATTAGAACATCCGTCATATTGGGCAGACTCTTAAGGAGTCTGAACATTAGTGAGCTATTGGCTAGATTCTAAGAATCTTGAGCTTCAATCATTAATTAAACCAGCGTTTATTAATCACCTACTATATACAAGTCATTGCATTAAACTCTGGAGACACAAAGACAAACCAGGAGAAGTAGAAGGGATCTTCTAGTCCATTCCCATCTTTTTGCACATAAGGAAACTGAGGCTCAGAGAGGCCAACTCCCACAACCAGCAAGCAGTAGAGGCCAGACCTGAGCCCAGCTCTTCTGATTCCCAATCCAGTGACCTCTCCCCTACACACACATTGCCCCTTTGTGGGCTGGTACGTCAGAGCCACTGGCCTGAGGTGAGTATTGGGTTGAGGCAGTGGGGTTATTTACACTGCAAACAAGGGATGGGATAAGTCCAGAAGAGAGAGAGAGAGAAAGGACCTACCAGCCCATACCATAAAGAATATCAGCAAAAAAAAAACCCCAAATTTTTTAAATGGGGCAGCTAGGTGGCACAGTAGATAAAGCATCAGCCCTGAAGTCAAAAGGACCTGAGTTCAAATCTGACCTCAAACCAAACACTTGATACTTACTAGCTGTGTGACCCTGGTCAAGTCACTTAACTCCAGCTGCCTAAAAAAAAAATTTTTAAAAGGAACATCAGCCTGCCTTCAGACCCCAGAACCCATCCATGAATGCTGTTGGAAAGAATCACTAAGATTTGCAGTTAAATGAATGAGTATCAAATTCAAACTTCACAGAGCAAATCCCCTTAATAAAAGGATTTGTTCTGTAAAACTTGAACTCAGTCAAAGGGCCATACCTAGAAGGCCACGTGTGGCCTGGAGGCTGCAGGTTCCCCGCCCCTGGAATAAGGCCTGGGGTGGGTCAATGATTTCAGTTTGCATGAAGACATGTAAAACTGGGAGGAACCCAAGAAGCATATAGTCAAACCCCTTCATTTTACAGATAAGGAAGCCAATTCCCCAAAAAGACAGGTGATGTGTCCAAGGTCACATGGTTGTCCTTCATACTCAGAGGACTAAAATGACATCACTGTCAGAGTCAAGATACAGTGCGTCCAACTGTGGCTGATCAGACCCATGCAAGCTCAGCTGGCTCTACCAGAGGTTGGACAGCAATAGTCCCTGTGAACATTTAGAGTGGAGCTGGCTCTAAATTTGTGCATTGCACGTTTCTTTTGAGCTACTACAATTCTGCTTTGCTCATAGAGCACAGCACCTTCTTTTATGGGATCATGCCATGCTGGACAGTCCTTTACCAATGTCTCCCATGTCTCATAATCGATTCCAAAGTTCTTCAGAGAGACCTTGAGAGCATCCTCATATCGCTTCTTCTGACCTCCAACTGGTGCACTTGCCTTGTCTGAGTTCTCTGTAAAATAGTCTTCTAGGCAAACATTTGGCATTCGAACAACAAGGCCAGCCCATCAGAGTCTCCCTCTCCGCTGTAGAGTCTGAATACTTGGCAGTGATTGTTATGAAGTCTTTTTTTTTTCTCTACATCTGACCTAAATCTGCTCTCTGCAGCCTCCAAACATTGCCCCCAGTTAAGCCTTCTTGGAGGCTTTTCTACATGACAACCTATTGAATATCTGGCTGGGAAGTCCTGGCTCTGACCATTACTACCTGGATGACCATGGACAAATCACTTAAACTCTCAGCTTCCATTTCCTCATATGTAA